CGATGCACTTGTTCCTAGTAGCTTAATACTCCACGCCAGGGCGATTCGCGTTGGCTTGGTGGTTGGGTTGTCTGAGGGTCCATGTTGTGAGGAAAAAGCGGGCAGAAAAAAAATAAGGAAAAAACTTTGTAGTTTATGGATCTTATGGTTGCACATCCTTTAGTTGATGTCCAAGGGGTCGGGCACAACGCCGTCCATTGCGCAACGCTTTACATTGCACAACACACTGGCATATCGGTGCAGCCAGCCGATTGCACTGTGAATTCATCACCCACATCGCCGCATTACACCTCAAACCCCTCTCTGCCCAGTGCCGGGGTACACCATTTTTGGGATGTTTTGACGCTTATTGAATGAAGCGCATCTTTGGGCCAAAGCATCGGAATGTCCCACGGTCACACGTTGCAAAACAAACACCATTTGCCACCAAGCAGCCACGCAAAAGTTGTGTTGAAACCTTTTCCGACGCCAAGTGGCCGGTCCCATGCGACAATTCTCTTGCCGCCTGCCACATAAACCACTCCCTGGTTCCCGCAAAACGATGTAAAACGAAACCGCCTCAACAGACCTTCGTTGGCAAAAGCAACACAACCTGCCCACAGTTTGCACACGTGAAGCTCGCACCAAATTTGCAAAGGGCAAGGCGGAGCTGCTGGGTCGTCTTCTTACATGATTCAAAACGTTGTTCCTGCTCTAGCGCGTCTCTCTCATGTTGTGGGGTTCGTCCCTCGGCAGCGGCCGCAGCAAACCCACAGCGCAAGCCCAGAAGGAAACCCAAAGAAAATCCAGAGAGACTCATCCAGTCATGATGGGAGATTACTGAGGTTGGGCTAGTACTTGCCCAGTGGGCGGGATGGTCTCTGTGTTGGGGTATTTCCCCGCTGGCAGGGACCACAGAGAAAGCAAAATGATGCATAACCGCATGGGTGAGCAGGGCTGTCCATCTGGCGAGCAAAGCTATGGTGAAAAATGGACGGAGAGCTGGTGGAGCATCTCGTGCTTTGTTGTGTGCCACGGGGCACAAGAACTGGGCGCTTTCGTGGCCCCATCGCCCTCCGACTGCAATAGCTAACACGACCAGCCAGCATCGACTTGATCGTCGGAATTCTGGAGAAGCCCTTTGTTTGGATTTTCTGACGTCGGAGGGCGGCTCCAGCATAGCCCACCACGGCGTCGTGGTTCCCCTGTGCTTGTCCAGGGTGACTGACACCAGAGTGGCGCCAATTGCTAGTTGCGAGCCGTGCCAACCGGCTAGCCCATTTGCGACGACTTCAATTCTTCTGTCATCCACCCGGTGCACGGCTGGAAGGTTGAGGTCTGCTAATCTTGTGTTTTGAGTGACTCGGGCGCCTGCTTCCCGGCACACTCTGGCTGCGGCATGCTCTGGTAAGCCTCCTCGTGTCCGGAGTGCCCCAACCCTGGCGAAAGTCGCTGTAGGTGTCAAGATTGCGACGGCACTGCTGAAGACTTGACGCTAAAGTGTCACAAAAACAGCCTGTTCCTCCTTGAGCATCACCGGTCCGGGCCATCAGGCCACAACTTCAAACAAAGTTTCAAGAAAAGTGAGGAACGGTGCAACGCGAAAACGCGCCTTTCGTTATAGTGAACTTCAGACAGATAGAATATTAAGGTGCATTAGGTAACACATAGAATAATTTTTAGAAGCCAACAGATAGAATTGTTCAGTTTTTTGAAGCCAGCAGATAGAATATTCAGCATACCTCAGATTCACTGCGCTACCTTTTCC